GCACTTAGGGAATGGATTGTGCCCGGCATCACCATGGGAGTAGCTCTGTTGGTCGTTCTGTTTGCCTCTTTGTCCGTGGTAAGCTATACATATTATTATTATCTCAACGGGGTATATTATGAGGGTTGGGTGTACATAATATTCCATCTTGTTAATGTAGAACAGATTTGGAGTCTGAGTTGCTCGCAGTTCTGGCAGCTAAATCGTCGCGCCTCATGACCGCCTAAAACTCGGTGGATGTTTAGTCCACATGTTTCAATTGACTTCACCTTGAATCTTATCCTCTCTTGTTCAGTGCTGCTGCGTGAAGTGTTGTCGCAAGACCAGGGAAAGAACTGTACACTACGGAGCCGGAATGCAGGTAAGGACTTATTGCTAGGTTCAGCGTCGTGTAGACTTCTGTCAACTATACGCTGTAAAATGAAATGGAACAACAGAATGTTACAACATTGAACTCCATCTAAACATTACAAGAAAATCTTTACAGGGATATGAAACAATATGTAGGTTTGTTAGTTTGTTGACTGACTCATATTTGTGACCCGTTAATTCCCTGATACCAACGAAAAACGTAAGAAATCCGTGTATCAGCAAAATGTATCAATTAAAAAACTTACTAAACTGTGCGATGTTTGGTCTTTCGAAATGTTTTCATTTTTAGCTGTATTATATGTACCAGCGAAGATTGATTTAGGTTATTACATTTGGCATGTGAAGCTGGATGCCTCTATTTCAATGTCGAAACATTTTGCTTTGATTGCCACGTCCAGCGGCGGCGGAACGGTTTTCAAACGGGGGGGAGGGCATCACCAAAAAGGGGAACTTGCATGGAAAAAGGGAAAAAAAAGGAAGAAAAAAAAAGAAAAAAAAGAAAAGAAAAAGAGGCGCGAAGACAAAGTGGTGTAAATTTAATGAGTGGGGGGGGGGGGGCAAAATGTCCCTGCCCCCCCTCTAAAACTGAAAAATCGAGAATGTGTTGAGAAATTCAGGCATTTTTTGGCCAAAACAATTTTTGCCCCCCTCTAGAAAAAATCCTGGCGACGCCCATCGGAACTTGCACATCCGTGCTGAAATGTCGACACGTTTTCATCGGACAATTTGCCTCCGTAAAATCAAATTGGGGGGGGGGGGGGACTGGGGCTGGTAACATCTTCCACAATAGGGGGCGCTCTTCAAAACCGATCATTTTCAGGGCGCATTGTAAAGATTTTGGGGCTCGGTTTTCATATTCCTCGTTCATATCGGAACTTTCTTGACCATTTTTTTGGGGGGGGGGGGGGGGCAAGTGCCCTCCCCCCCAAAAAAACAAAATGGTATAGAAAGCACTTGCCCCCCCCCCCCCCCCCCCCCCTGGCCGCGTCCGATGTAAACCAACAGGTTTCTTCAATATTTTCCCCGCAAATGTGATATTATGATACATTTCAATAATGATTTGACATAAACCTTTGGAATATACCTGTAGTTGGGGAGATCTCTTGACAAACGTGTACCTTCACTCTCACAGATGATCTTAAGTTTGTTCATTCTTTTTTGACAGGTTCAAAGGCCTCATAACTTCCATACCTCCCAGCATACTGCGCGTGCGGAAGACAAGGCCCCACTCACCAACTACGACATGGCTTAGACAGTCTCCAGCTTCGTGTCATTTATTTTCTGGACAATGAACCCTGATACTAGGGGAAGTCCATCCATCATGTTTATTCCGTTTGGCCCAACATTTCACAATGACTGTGTCGTTGTTAAGACATGCATTTTGCAGGTTGCAAAACAGCGATTTAAGAGTCTGCATGCAATTAGTCTGAAGTATTCCAGATATGGTGTACTGGTATTAAATAGCTGCTGTACATTTCAGAACTGAACCCTACGGAAATCTTGAAATGTTGTGTAACGTCTATACATTAGTCTATACTTAACGGGTTTTTTTTCAAAATAAGTGAAAGACTTAAGGAAAAATAGTCTTTTGTTGAAAACTGTACTTACTGATTTATCTGTTATCGGTTTTAAGCACGCTACACGCATTTTTGCTTACTTAACATTAATAGATAAACTATACTCCTAAATGGATCATAAAAGTGCGGACAAAACATCCATTTTTAAATGCAAGTTTTTGGGTTTGAATTAAAATAGCTCTCCGGGTATCAGAATATCAGAATGTTATTAAAGAGACGAATTTTACAGAACTATTTGTTAGCTGTAAAAGTTTTTAAGAAAGTGTATGAATCTCGCATGAAGGGGATTGTAAATAAAGTGTTTGTAGACCTATTTGTATTTTACGAACATATTTCTTATTTTACGCTAATAGCATTAAATGCAGAAAGTTTTGCGCAGAATTATTTGCATTATACTGTCATTGTAGCCCCCTACCCAGTCTTGAACTACTTCAGAAAATGAAGCAAACGTTTATAGTTTAGCTAAAGCTAAAACAGTTTAAAAGTAACTATCTTCATTTCGGCAGTATTTTAGCCAGATCCGGGTTTCTTTTAGCAAACGATATTTAGCCGGAACGGCTTGGTCATGCGTAGTGACTGTTTTTTTTTATTTAGAAATGTTTACCGTAACAAATCTTAGTCTGGTTCCATGCCAACATTGTCGTTGTGACTTCGTATCCACGAGACGGGAATCTGACCATTTACAATTTCTGACTTTATTTCCCAACATTGTCGTCAAGACTTTGTATCAACGAGACGGGAATGTGACCATTCACAATTTCTGACTTTATTTCCCTTTCAAAAAAAAGTCCATCCAAACCAGGAATCAATTTAAAATAATAAATATAAAGAATATTCTATTTTTTTGCTATAAAAAAGAAAATACGAAAATGTCGAAAGAGCTCCACTGATGGGGTATCGAACCCGGGATCTCAAGCTAACATATCAGAACAGAGGCCGGGGGGGGGGGGGGGGGCAGGCACGCCAGATACAGAAAATAACCCCTGCAGAATGTCATCGTTTGTGTTAAACGTGTAAAGGTATCACTGAGGAGACACGTTATCGTAATTTCTTCGCACGATGGGAGACATGGGTCATTAGGGAGACATTTTCATGTCTCCCTAATGTCACAGCCCCCTTTAGAGGCACAACTTTACCGTCGCAATTGGGTTATATTTGTTGCTCGTGGTCTTATTAGTAAACATACCAAAATTCATGGGAAAAGGACAAGGGAATATTGGGTTAGGGCACATTTAAGTTTGAAAAAATTTGTGCACAAGTCTATGAGGATGTCTCCCAAATGTCAAATCCAGGGTAATTATTATTAGTATAATTGTTATCATTTTTTTCTTGGTGGGGGGGGGGGGGGTTTCGACCGCGCCTGCAGATCCATTTTGCTACACTTGCTGCTCGAATGATGGGGGTAATTTAAAGCCCCCATGTAATTTATTTTTCAATTTTCGTTTGCCATTTTCAAGGGTATTTCGGTGCCTTTTTAGTTTTTATGGTAATGCGAATTTCAAAATTCATGAGCAAAAGTGTGATGTCATTTCAGCCAGAAACCTCAATGTTACAGCAATTCTAGCACTAAAAGTTGCAAGAATTTAGGATATTATGCTGCAGTTGTAAATTTTCTTTCCTTTGGCGGTTCCTTGCTATGCCAGTACACGGTGGTAAACCAGTGAGCAAACTTTTCTCACATTTGTTTTCAATGAACACATTTTTTGGGATCACAATATAAACAAAAGAACAGCTGCTTCCTGAAATGATAGCACAGCAACATCCTCCTCAGTTGTCCGGAAAACATGGACATTTTAAATATGTAAAGAAGTGCACTTTTAAATAAAATTATAACCAAAAAAGAATGACATATAGTTTTTTTTCAGAGGAGTAAAAAGTTGCACAAAATATGTTCCTCAAAAAAAAAAATCTTCATGAACCCTTTAATACATTATAATGTAGGCCTACTCATCTATGTATCAAAGAGGGCGCTGTATCTCTCCGGCTTAATCTCGTTTATCAAAAGAAAGCCGGATCCGGCAATATATCCACTATTAAATGTGTCATTTATTAGTAAATGCTTTCCATTAAAAAGCGTTTGCTTCTTGTTTATTCAAAATCATATAATAGAAATGCGAGTAAATGCTCGAAAATTGGTAGAAGGGAAACGCTATTTTTCATACATAGGCCTACGACCAGTATATCTAAAGAATTTTGAAAGAATTTCTTGTTTCTTTTAAAGGATCATAAATGGTGATTATTGGTCAGTAGATGACAATGCTTGTGATGATGATACAAAAATCAACCGAGTTCATCGAAAATAAGCCATAATCGCGAATTGCCATTATTGCCAGGCTGCGTAGTACCGCGCTTTAATGTTATATTTACACGATGATCACGTGCTGTCTAGTTGGCGAATGTCAATAGTCATAGGCACGTGCCTCGCCCTAGACTTGAGGACAAGTCGTTTGTGGTTTGTCGGCGCCCCCAGTATTAAGCACTGTGTATCGTGTTTACTATCATATACTCAGTGGGTCTGGCATGCCTAGCTCGGACGGATATTCATTTATACGCACATCGAAATAAATGCATCACGTTCCGATGGAGCATGGAGGCCAATGATAGCTTTACCTGTACAACTAAGGAAGCATCCATTATTAGAGTAGGGATATCTTTCACTTGATCAGTATGCGTTTCTCTCTCTTTTGTGTGTGTAAAATCCTCATTGGAATATTAAACTCAATTGTATAAATATATCAAAATTACATGTGTCAAATAACCGTTTCTGAATAAATAATGTAATGGAATATCAAACTGCTCAAAATCTCAGCTGTTGACCCCTCAAGGAATGGGACTCGCTTCCGGCTGTACTGCATTCACCACACACAAAACACCTGTGCATGCACGTGACAAAACGCGCAAGTTGTCACTTAATTGTAATATGGATATTCAAATTTTTCTGATTATCTTAACCAATCAGACTGCTCCTTCCAAATCTGGCAGCAATTACCATACGTTTTGTACAAAGTCGAAAACAGATCATTCAAGTCGGAAATTGGAATCCACGTACGTACGCATAAGGGTCGAAGATGCACCAAACCGTCCCCACATGTGCCATACAGCATGGTTTATACAGTTGGACGGCGTGTTATATGCGGTAGCTGTCCGATGCCGGTGCGCCGGCGTTGCGCGAAGGGGGAACAACATCTGGCCAATTACCGACTGATTTCAAGTCTAGCTTCGACTGCACTGCTTAGAGCAAGTGAAAGCACTTGCAATCGCAGTTGCAATCAAAGCACGATCGAAGGAGTCTGCTGTGTCCTGGCGGCTCGATTTATAGTAGATCTACATCCTCAAGGGCTGCACAAGACCGTGACAACCGTCTAACACCGATCGACAAAAAATGGAGAAAATTCAGCTGGGATTCATCCTGTTACTTGCTTTTTTGTGTGCCGGGGTAACGCAAACGACAACTCCTGGTAAGTGCAAACCTATGTCTTTCAGTTTAAAGATAACATTATAAATAATCTTCAGGTTTTAGTTTTCAATTTTCCAGGTCAATATTTTTGTCTTGCACTTTAAGTTTGTTCGTAGGCTATATCCCTGTCAAAGATGCTGCAGTGTAAACGATCTACATACGTGTCCATACTGACTGCCTTGTGCACTGTTGGCCATACACCCATGTGCACTGAGACTAAATCTTGCACGATTTGGAACAGGACGCTATTTTAGAAAATCAGGTATTTTGATTCATTCACAGCGCTCTAAGGTACTTTAGACACACATCAAATTATAAAGCTGGATTTACCATATTTCAAATTCTTTTAGAGTTTTTGGCCTGACCATTATGATGTGGGATGACATTTTATTTGAGTGAGATTGCCGTTTTCAAGGGTATTCTGGTGCCGTATTGTTTTTTAAGCCATTGCGAATGTCCATACTCATGAGCAAAATTGTGATGTCATTTCAGGTAGAACTATTTCAGCACAAATTGCCAAAATTTTTGCTTGTTGTATATTTTCTTTATTGGGTGATTCGTTGTTGTGTCAGTACATGGCAGTAAGCCAATGAGCAAACTTTTCTTACATATTATTTCAATGAGCAAATAATTATTAGGGTTCACAATTTTAACAGAAAACACAGATACTAAACAGTGCCTTCCTGAAATGACACAACAGCAACAGCGCCATCAGTAGTCCGGAAAAGCACGGAAAAGTTAAGTGTCTAAACAAGTGCATTTTCAATACAATTAACCAAAAAGGGATGTCAAAATATGAGATGACTAGAAATTTGCACAAATTATGTTTCTATGAAAAAAATCATTGCATGAACCCTTTAAAAACAGAGATTGTCCACGCTGTTGCAACCTTGTGGCCGAATTTTATCAAATTGTCTAAAAAATACAGGCCTCAACCACAGCCCTGTTCAGAGGGTGATATACCGGCAGCCATTTGCACATCCTTTAGCTCAAGTAACTTTGATCTTGGAGTGCAGACAACCGGAAGTCTGTTGTCAGCTGTGAGATCATGGGGTCAAAGATCAAGTACACAAGTACATACGATCATGATCGCGGTATTTTATACTGGCTGTTGGTGACTTCCTGCCAAAAAAAACACGACATTATTATCATGCTTTCGTAAAAAGTACCCGGATGATTGAACTATCATGTCAGTAAAAGTACCCGGAAGAGGAAAACATTATTTTGATATTGTCCTCATCCGGGCATGTTACATATTTCGCTGGTTCCTGCAAAATCAAGAGCGTACAAAGTCACAGTGGTCAACCAGCCAACAGAGCCCCTGTCGCCCGCGCACGCAACGCGCAGCATGCAGAATGTGTAACCGAAGACATTTCTACGAAATTATTTCAGAACACAATCTTTTTTGTCTGTAATATTGAGAAATCAATGTAGTGTCATGAAATGTATTTCTTTCAGATCAAGTCAGCTTGATATAAATAATAATAAATGTTTAAATTTGGACATGTTTAGCTTAAGCATTTAAACGACTTCAGTTGTGTAGGTTATAGGTTTCCAGAAAGTAACTGCATATTTACAGAATCATTTACAGAAGCCAGATGACTTTGATATTGCTAGGATTTAAATTATTTTATCTGACTTTTAGAGTATAATGTACATGTACATGTACGATAGGCCTAACCTACTACACTTCTGGTTAGAATTTGTCGTGGTTTAGCTTTATATGCAGCTCTTCCCGCCATGATGAAGTCACGGTTTCACCATGAATGACAAATTTAAATACGACAAGCGATTTAATGCGATTTTCACTTATGTTTGCAAAATTCGAAATTCTATCATGGATTCGTTTGATTAATGACACATTTCGGTCAAGAAAATGCATTTTTGGACAGAACACTACAAGTTAACTTGACCTTTGATCTGATTGGTCAGTTGCTGCACAATTAGATTCTATGTAAATAAACATGTCTCCAAACTAAACATGTTTAGCTTTGCGGCGTTTACGAGCACTTTTGTAAACGCGTTCAGTGCAAATAATTATGAAGGCCTTAACCTTGTGTTGAAAAAGGATAAGCGTTTAGCATGTAAACTCTTAAAATCATTTAACTGTAAAAACGTTTTAAACGTGTTTAAAACCTAAAAATCATTTTACAGTGTATACATGCGTGGGAGTCCCGATATAATAGGACACCGCCATTGTGTATGATGTGTTTGTCATGAGAGGTGTTTTCTCTATGACACCGCGCGCTATTGCGTGCGGAGGGACTTTCCCTCAATGAGAAATAATTTGGCGGAGAGCTCGAGTGGGCGATCAATGAGAAATTCAGACACATGTAGGAGAATGCTGTACGCTAATGTCAGGAACTTAGGAATGACATCCCTGCTTCCTATAATTCGGGGGACTAAAGTTCCAGGAAAATGTACACCACTCCATGTACATGCATTGAGACATCCTAACATTTGGGACTGACTGACCCTGGGGGTTTTGTTTTTGGGTTTTCTATTCCTACCTCTATGATTGACCAAGCATCCGATTGGTAATAAACCGTAGTGATCGAGAAGTGATTGATTGGTGTCCAGTTTCATCCGTGTTTAATCAAGGACGGACCCCAGCCCTAGAATTATAATAGGGTAGACCACCACACATGTATTTCTGTATCCCCCTCAAAGCCATCCAATATTATATAAATATTGTATACCTAATATCAAAATATTTTCACTGTGATCATTAACTGTTTAAGTTCCTTATGAATTACAAAGTGCATCAGCAAACCAAAAAATAAACTTGGTTCTTCTCGACACCTGTCCCTTTGACGAAAATAACTGTCGTAATCAGAGAAGTGGGAGGCCGTGGGAGAAATACAATAATTGGAACAAAATCAGATTCTAAGGCATGCATTGTCCTGTAATGTGCATATAAAAAAAAATGTTATTACAAAATCTAGAACCTGTAAGATTCGGCTACCGTACTTTTAAGTTCAGTCACTACTTGGGGGTCAAATAAAGTCATACAATTCAAAAGTTCCATTTTTATTTTCCGCACGATCACACCAAGGGGTTGCTGTTTCCATGTCACACTGATTTACCAGGGAACAAGTCAGACCGCTATGAAAGTATACGCGTTTCAGTATCGCATTATGTATTATGCACGTAAATATTTGTATTTCCTTCTGAACCCAACAACCCCTACTGTGAAACCAAGTACCCACAGACACCAGAGAAAAATCCCCATTGATCAAAATTCTTTAAAAAGAATACTCAGAACTCTCACAGATGTTCAGGCTGCACAGAAAAATGATGATCAACATGTCGTCTTTCGTTTTCCTTTCAATTGTTTGTAGGTTGACTGATGACGTTTTGGAGAAACTTTCACCCAAAGAAGATTATCCCTTAAAAGAATATTTTACAAACTGGAAAAGTAGCCATTTCGAAAAAAGAAATTTCAACAACGAGTTTATCGTGTACCGTAATAAAGTTGATATTATAGTGATCTATGAAATACTAAGATTAAACACTATAAAGACACTATTTTTTTCTGACTCTTGAAACTTTCCTTTTTGTTTGTCTACTATTTCCCTCTATGACTCAAATTAAGCATAGCTCTGTAATGCAAACTGAACCAATACCGTACACTTGTAATAAATGCAGAAACTTTAGTGAAGTCAAGAAATAATCCACAAGTCTGACAAAGGTAGCATCTTTCATCTCCACACCAATCGGTCAACTGTTTTTAGTAGTTTTTTTTAATTTGATTTTTAATCTAACATTCATGTTAATTCTTCTACTTTAATTTAAAGTGCTCTTATAAACAAAGCACATGGATTTCCCTTTGCTGGGATAAAAACAGTACTTTGTATTTTATTATTTCACAATTTTTTTCAGCTTTCCATCCGAAAATTCCAACCGCTCACCCGCAAGAAAGTAATCTTATCCGTTTATATTGTGTAATATGCCACAATTCAATGCTCGTTTCAGGCAATCGAAAATGGGTGCGAAACATCCGGGTTCTTCACCATTTTAGAGAGGTTAACAAACCAAACATGTATAGGTGAAACTAGACTGGATCCCTCGCCTGTGAAGGAACCTTCGTTAATAAAGCCTGGACGATAAAACGTCAATCAGGACACTTAGTTCATAACAGAATGTGATTTGTGCGGAATTCTGCGGTAAACTATAAACCATCCATGCACATTACTGACTGTGTCTCCCAACTAATAAAAAAAGACAGTCACGATTCCTTTTGTACCGAGATTCGAAAGACTTTATCGATATTTTAACATAGCATTGTATTTGTTTTAATTCTGTAACACGCGGCTCATAACATATGACATACCGAATGAGCAATCCAGCTGGCGAACTGACCGAAAACATCGAATCTTGTTAATGCAATCTAAATGCGATCTTAGGTCATGCAGCATTTTTAAAAGTGTGCAAAAATACACTGAGAGAGCCTTGACGCAATGTTTCGGTCACAAGAATGCTGTGACCGTCATAAGAAACTGGTGACATCATACTGAATCAGACTTAAATTTAAGTATCATATTTAATTGACAGTATTTTCAGTTTTTCGAATGAGCACTCTTTACCGATAATCTCTTCTCACGAAATCTTAATTACACGTCTGTTATTGACATCACGTCTTAGCAAATCATGGCACGAGAAACGAACACATACTTCGTCTTCGGCTTCGTTCCTTTTTTCAGTCCAAGTTCAATAAGAATTCTGAAACAGTAAGATCCTAATTAAAATGCGTATACGACCATTATTGGTCCCATGATAGGATTTGGTGCTTCGAAGCAGAAAATGGACGATTCTATGTTTTGTGAGAAGTCTGCCATGTCAGGGGAATAAAATCATGAACTGGAACCTGGAACAGAAAAAAAACCCCGTAAACTCCCGTAAGTTTTATGGCAGTTATTACTGCAGTGGTGGATCCAGAATTTTAACAATGGAAATGGCTGGATGTGTCGAAGTCCAAAATCTCTCATTTCAAGGGGAGGGAGAGAGGTTTGGACGCTGGATTAGGCGTTGCAGCCTACTCATAAAAATACAGATGACATGAAGCAATGAACGACGGAAGATTTGCAATATTCAGGGCGACGGAAAGTCAGATTCCTTTCACAATACATGATGTAAATAATAAACAATATCACAGTCGCGGGAGGGGTGGTTGATTACACCCCCGGCCTTTGCAATCGTCCTTGTGTAGGTTGAATTAAATCAATTGTCGGCGGCCTTTTTTACGTGGGAAATTCTGTTAAAGCAAACCTTATGGGTTCTCTTTGCAGATAATTCAGGAGGTCATTGTCCACATGACTACGCAAGATACAACCCAAACATTCCGACTCCAGGATGCGGAGGCGAATGTGAGGGAGACCAAGACTGCAGCGACGGGGAGATATGCTGCGTCAAAACGTCTCAATCGGAATACCAGTGCCCTGTATGCAGGCAACCTGAATACGGTACAAGTGCAATATCTTGTAATGTAATAAAAATACGCCTTATTATGACGAGTAGCAACCCTTAAAGTGACACAAGGTACGCCTGCACACTAATGGTAATGAGTCAACGTCTTCAGTCAAACGACGCTCAGACTTCATAATAGAACGTCTTAGTCCCGGCTCCCTTTTGTGCATCGTGATACGCACGCAGCTATTGTTACCAACGATGCGACCAACCAAATATATTAGGTTGGTCGCAAATGGTCGATTATTCCACTTTCAATGAATTGACTGATCCAACTTCCAGATCAATATTTCCTTCTTCGAAAACGTCTCTTGGAAAACTAGGCAAAGATGCCTCATAGCAGCGCGCAAGGCGGACAAGTATGATAGTTCCCGTCGAGCGATGTATATACATTCAGCACGGAAAACGATTGCATAGTTCTCTTGGAGCATCCCAGCCCACACTGCAATGATTCCCAGAGGTTCTCTTGAAGCATCTCATGAGGGGTTTTCTTGGAAACGTTTCTCAGAAAATTAGACAAATTAGCCTGCAGCAGCGCGAAGGGCGGACGACTATAATTGTTCCCGTTAGGCGAATATGAGATCTATTGGAGCATCCAATTATTCACTGCATTGATTGCTTAGGGGTTCTCTTAATTGGAGCATCTCAGCCCACACTGCACTGACTGCATAGGGGGTTCTCTTGTAGTATCCCCGACCAAACTGCACTTTTTCCATATAGGCTCTCTTGGAGCATCCCATCCAACACTGCACTGACTGCATAGGGGTTCACTCGTAGCATCCCAGCCCACACTGCACTGACTGCATAGGGGGTTCTCTTGTAGTATCCCCGACCAAACTGCACTTTTTCCAAACAGGTTCTCTTGAAGCACCCTAGCACACACTGCACTTACTGCACAAGGGGCTCACCTGGAGCATCCGAAACCAAACTGCACGTTTTTCATACAGGTTTTCTTGGAGCATCCCAGCCCACACTGCACTGATTAGAGGTTCTCTTGCGGAGCATATTAGCCCACACTGTTACAACTGCATAGGGGTTCTCTCTGAGCATCCCAGCCCACACGGCACTGATAGGGTTTGGTTTGCAGCATCCCAACACACACTGCAATGACTGCATAGGGGTTCTCTTCGGGCATCACAGCCCACATTGCGCTGATTCCATGTAGGTTCTATTGGAGCATCCCAGCCCACACGGCACTGATAGGGTTTGGTTTGCAGCATCCCATCACACACTGCAACTACTGCATAGGAGTTCTCTTCGGGCATCACAGCCCACATTGCGCTGATTCCATGTAGGTTCTATTGGAGCATCCCAGCCCACACGGCACTGATAGGGTTTGGTTTGCAGCATCCCATCACTCACTGCAACGACTGCATAGGAGTTCTCTTCGGGCATCACAGCCCACACGGCACTGACTGCATAGGGTTTGGTTTGCAGCATCCCATCACACACTGCAACGACTGCATAGGGGTTCTCTTCGGGCATCACAGCCCACATTGCGCTGATTCCATGCAGGTTCTATTGGAGCATCCCAGCCCACATTGCACTGACTGCATAGGGGTACCTATACCCCTTTCGAATATAGCGCGCCTACTATATAGTGCGCGCGCCTCAAACAACATCGTAAAGTTGACTGAGCAGTCTCAGTCGAAGTCACGCGTCGGGTCATACACACAGATTCTCTGAGAGACGTTCTCAAAGAAGGAAATGCCGATCTGCATCGAACGTGCTCTCTCTGTTTACCTAAATTAACTCATTCTAAATATTGCCCTCTATTTTGTGTTGTCCGCCACATCTCAAAAGGCTTATTTGCAAATGTTAAATATCACCGCCCTGTTTAAACGTAGGAACAGCTTTTCATCGTTTTGATTTGCTTTCCTCAGGCAAGGGATGTGACACCCGCTTCGGTGAATACTATTACGACGGCGAAATTTTCAATAGTTACAATCCGTACTACTACTATGGCTGTACAATATGGTAAGTAATTATTTTGAATTGTCAAGTTTTGCCGAATTCTTTTCAGCCTGAGCAATGCACAATTATTAGAAAGCAGCCATCGGATTTAAATAAAACTGCAATGCATTCGGCTTATTAGAAATCACTTAAGTTGATAAGTGCATACTTTACATTTTGAGAAAACAGAGAAAGCATATATGCACAATATTTTTGGTCTTGTATCTTGATATGCAAGTTTTGAAAAGGTGTGCCCGCCGGCACAACTTTTACTTTGCGTAAGTACGGAATTACTTACTGGCCAGCATCGTACATTGCTGCACCTGCTGCCTGACTAGAGAGATGCCTCCAAATGGTACGGTCCCTTGCTGCCACTTCTGCTTCCTCTACAGACCACCCAAAGTCCATTCTGATGATGTCGTTCTGAAACGGAATTAATAAAACCTGATTAAATGATTGTTTTCTTTCGAACGATACGATTTCAGGCGAAATAATTTAACCGGGTATTTGACGGAAGTCATTCCGTCACTTTGAGCGAGAACCACGGTAATTACCATTTTTCCTACAAGCCCTTAATGAGAAAATCTCACACTGAAGATAGGAATATAGTAATAAAAACCCTGTGAATTATTCTACCTGACTAAGTGATCCGAAGAAAAGCATGTGTCGCCTTTTCTTCCGCGGTCGATCCCTATATTTTTTGTGTTCTTAAAAAAAAAATTGTGTGCATTTGTAAACGACGACCTCAAATGACCCCCAGACGACCTTTTAACTCCAATTTAGGAAGAGATGTGATGCACGCATACCCAAGGATCACTCCAGATAGAAGTCACGTTATAATCCATCAAATTCTGCAGACAAAGAAACATATTTGAAGAATATTTAAACAATGACCTCTAATAACCCCTTTATGACCTTTGACCTCAATAATCCGATGTCTTTCCACCCAAGGGTCACTGCATCTGAGTTTCATCAAAATCCATGAAAAAATGTACAATGTTGTAAACTTTTCCCTTATACTGTGAATTCCACCATTATTAACCTCAGTTGACCTTTGACCTTTCGTCGACCTTTGACCTGAAATATATCCCACATTATCTTTGCTACTCAATAACCCTTGAATGTGTCAAAGTTTTATGGAATTCAGGCGAATATTCAAGAAATGAGATTAATTCCAAAAAGTTTAACATCCATATGGTCATATATGCATATCCTTCGTTTAGGCCGCGCGACACAAACATTGTATTGATCAGAAGAAAACAAGCATTGGAGGTGGTTCTCAAAATCTATAGTTTCAACTTTAATGAACATTTAATGTACAGTACTACGTACGATTCTGAGCATTTTGCTTCAAACGAAAACAAGAAATGATATCCTACTTACCTTTAAGCACCATTGAGTTTAAACTATTACAGGGCTGAACAAGTATGCAGGGCTGTCGGATTTGGATTATCAAAATAACATCAATGTATTTTATCTATCCACAGTCAGTGCATCAATGGAGAAGTCAACTGCTTCAATACCTGTGGTTAGTACTGCTTGATAAATTCCTTACATCTGTAGAGTATTCACATGCCCCCATCTGACAGTTGCCATGCATGCGGCAACATGCGTGAACAAATCATTCCATAGAATATAAACTGGCATTCCCACAAATAGTTTTTTTTGCTTGATGAAACGAATTGGGGTTTCAGAGCAATGTACGATTGAAGGTTTCCACAATCAAAATTTTGCCAAAATTGTGAATTTTTTTTACTTGCAGACGAAGATAGATTTGCACTCAGGGAATGGATCGTGCCTAGTATCACTGCAGCCGTCGCTCTGTTGGTCGTTCTGATTGTCTCTCTGGTGGTGGTAAGCTATCAATATCAGATTTTCTTGTCAGGGTATATAATATGAGCCTCTGAGGACTGGCACCGTTGAAGTTGTAGCCACTTTTAACGTATTATTGCAACACAGATTTTGAGGTTTCCTGTGCGGTTCTTGCGTGACTGATTTCGGTCGAAGAAACAAAAACTAAAGTACGGTGTGCGTAGTCGAGCGGTCCCGATAGCTCGACAGTGTGAGTTGTTTATGATATTATTTTTTAGCTGCGGGTAGCAGCTCAACAAATCGTCGTGCCTCTCATTTAGTAAGTTAGTTAGTTAGTTAGTTAGTAACAAACGCTGACATTGTGTATTGCTCCTACATATTCTGACCGATTTCAACCAAACTTTGTCCATAGTATCAGTAGCCAGCCCCAACATGTCACATGACCAAACTGGGGTCAAAGATCATCACGGGGTCACTGGGTTAAAAAAAACTTGATATATTTTACTCAAAACACCACTTTTTCCAGAAATTACATGTTACAATCACGTAACTCATGTATGAACACGAATTCGTTAGCCCGCAGCTTCCGAGATCCGATGAGCTAATTGTTATGTGGCTCAGTCACATACTCGATCGGTAGGTCAGTATAGGCTGGCCCTTCAGGGGCAGCAATGCAGGTCAGGACTTAACCTTGGATCTCTTCTCTTCTTGTGAAGTGCTGCTGTGTGAAGTGCTGCTGCAAGACCGGTCACAGGACTGTGTACCATGGAGTTGGAACACCGGTAAGTTCTCGGGGCGTCGTACACCGAAATTAAACCGTCATTATCTAATCGCTAGTAAGTCTACTACATGTGTGATCAATAGAACCAAAAAAAGCCTACGATAAGTAATGTGTATGCAAAATTACATGACATGAATTTGATAAGTGCAAGCATTCATTTTCTCTTAACTGTGTCAAAATAACGAGATACCCCTCTGTTGTTATTTTCTTTTAAGTGATTTTTTTTTCAAATATATTTCTTTTGTAAATGATCCCCGCTATGTATTTCTGATAACATTAAGGTGCTGTTGCTGTGACTGCGCTTTGGGCGCAAAATTGATTGTTTTAGGGGTATTCTTCACAAATGATGAACCCCAAATTTTTCTTATTGAAAACAATTGTGCAAAGTTAAATTGTTGCACAATTATCTGACATTATCAGGTTAATTACAATGGAAAACCACTAACAGAATAATGTCCACGGCAACCCCCTCCCCTATAATAAATCAGCTAAAGATGATATCAATATGTTCACATTGATGGCCTTTCTTTTACTCGGATGCAAGAACTGCCCCAAATAAAGTCATTTTTAGAAAGGCAAAGTAGGTAACTTGGTCTCGAAATTAACTATTTAAATTTGTAGTGCACTCCTGTGCACGCATCATCACATTCAGTTTTCTGGTACTTACACATGTACAATGTTTCTTGTACAGTATAGACCAACTTGCAACATTTGAATAATGGCTTTCCTATGAGCTCCTTGCGCTACCAAAAGAGGGCGCCCTTTCACCTAGCAACGACGTCCCATGGGCGGGACATTTCGCTGGTTGACGCGCACCGTTCCTTTCGTGTGACGCACGTACATCAGGGGATTTGTACTACACACGCGCAGTGGCTGCGCTTTGCGTCAAAACGAATTGCAGTCAGGCAACATGGCGTCGGTCTGTCACCCCCAACTGTACTTCCTTTGCCGGTGAGGGGGTGCTTGTGAACAGAGCGGTATAAATCATCAGTCGGTATTCGAAATTACAATGTATGTTTGTGTCTTTTATCTGGAAAATTATGTCCTTTTTTATGTGGTGTTTGACACAGGTTCAACGGCCTAATAACTACCAGACATGCCCACCTTACATGCCTAATGCTGGAGAAAGGGAACCACTCGTCAATCCTCAAGTCGCTTAGACAGTGTCTCAAGATCTCCAGCTTCATACATTTTCTGTCTGGGAGGTCACAGACCATTTTTGTTGTGGCGTGCCTGTTTGAAAAGCAAATGTCAGAGATCTGTCTCCTGTTTTTTTACTCGATTTATAAATGAATTTGTTATACCTCTGTCTTGAATACTGTATTTTCATTGGCCTAGAATGATTACGCGTTTAGTTTATAAAAAAAGTCAAATCACACTCGCTGTGGGATATCACGACCGTGATATCTCATAGGGAGTGTGCTATGACTTTGTGCGTAGGCCTACACGTAAAAGGCAGCGAACTTGCAGACTATCAGCTGTTTCGAGCACGCGACATGCGTGTGAGTTGACGTCGCCAGTGTCATGATTGTTGTGTTTATTGCTGTTTATTTTCGTGATTTTTACATCAAAATCCAAGACATAGGTATAACAAACAATTGTTGTCTGGTGTGATATAGGATATGACGTTTTGAGCACCCTCGGGGCGCTTAGCACCCTCGGCTGCACCTCGGGTGCTATGCGCCCCGAGGGTGTTCAAAACGTCAAATCCCGGCCCACATCACACCAATCAACAATTGTTAAATACATGTAGAACAATAGAGGCTTTGTAAAGAGGCTCAACTTTCTATGTAAGTTGGATTTCAATTTCTTAATCTATGTACATTGTACTTGCTTGATGACATTTACAAATCGTAAAGAAGCTAGGGCAATTAAAAAGTTTTCTAGATAATGTGCATGTAGTTGATTGTTGTTGTTTTTTTTTTTTAAAGATGTCTTCATTTTGCTTTTACTATATGCAGTTATTATTATAACACCTCACCCACAGATTCTGTGTTTTGATTGGCCGAGAGCGAGTCACATATGTTACTTTCTAATTTTGCTATCTTTCTGTGCATGGCCAAAAGTACTATGCGCATAGCAACCAAAGTACTATACCATTAGCAACCAAAGTACTATTTCCACGGCGCGGTATTTGTGTGCAAATGCATGCAGGTGTGCGCGTTGCGTGTTGTGCGTAGCGCGTATTATTCCAAAGAGAGCGCGCCGCAGACTTGGGTTCAAACATTTCGTGAAGGGGTAGTTTTTAAAGAGAGAAATACATTTTCCACCAATTTTGTATTGAAATTGAAGTTTATTTCAACTGTGTTCAGATTTAAATAATTAAAAATATTAAAATCAAGCAGAATCTGTGGGTGAAGTGTTATAAAACAAATATTGAATGCTTTATCTCGTGGTGAAGTAAAACTAGCCTCCCTCGGTGATCCATGGAACATTCTATTTTCCCTCGGCTTCGCCTTGGGAAAATAGAATGGTTCATGGATCACCTCGGGAGGCTAGTTTTACTACACCACTCGAAGCATTCAATATTTGTATACTATTATACTATATACAGTGTAGAAACAACTGCAATTGACATGGTACAAAATAGTTGAAAAGTGTGCAAGATTGTGTAATAGTTCAATTCTTAAATGAATGGAGAGTTTTTTTTTTTTCATACACAAAAATGCAGTATTTGTAGATTTGTGCTTACCCTTTATAAGTAGTCCTATATCGGTTTCCCGCTTACCGCGTTGCTCATAATAAATACTGATGTAAATAAGTTAAAAACCTATTGCTAATAGATTGCAATAGTGAAACATAACCCCTTCATGCTATTTTTTTTTTAACCAAATCTCTTTGACGATGAAATTGGATTATTTGATTGTAAGTACTTTTTTATGTTTACTATTAAGTAACTAACTATTGTCCAGGACTACATGTAGCGGACGATTCTTAAAGGGATACAATATTTACTTTTGCTGTAATTTCCAGAAATGGATGGATTTGGGTGGGGTAGGGAAGTATTTTATCCATGGGGCGGGGAATGGGGAGCTTGCCCCCCCCCCCCCGGAAAAAAGGGAAGAAGCAAAAAAGAGAAAAAAAAGAAAAGAAAAAGAGGCGCGAAGTCATAATGATGTAAATTCAATTGGGTTGGGGGGGATGCCCCTGCCCCCTTCTAAAACTGAAAAATCGACAATATGTAGAAAAATACAAGAATTTTTTGGGAAAATATGTTTTGCCCCCTCTAGAAAAAATCCTGGCGACGCCCATGATTTTATAGCAAATATTGTTACAATGACCTGTCTAAAGCTTTGTGTTCATAGATGCTGGAAAAAGCAAGAAAACAAAATCATGTTCTTGTATCCCACTTATGACGAAACGGAGCAACTTATAGGCGTCGGGGATTATAAAGTCAGAGAACCAGTCTAGCTGGCTTTTAGCCGTTCACAGATGTGTTACCAATTGCAAATAAAATGTGGACAAACTAAATTTGGTAAATTTGGGGCAGCATTTAAAAGAAGCTTTTTTCCCAAACGATGTTCGGCTTACTATCGTTGGAAATTGATACTTTTATTTGTTTATGTATTTCACATCTTTTGACATTAAACAAAAACTTAAGAATAAAAAAAATGAAACAGGTGCTGTCAAGGATAGACAAAAGTATAAAATTGTCATCAAACGATGTGTTTGACCAGACCCCTGTTCAAATAAAAATCATTAATATGGTAAAATTGCACATACTAATGTGCAATCCCACCTTCTTGAAAATGTTACAACACCATGTGCCAGGATTTGCGTGATGCTTTAGACTGTCATTCACAAACAGTATAGTAGGTATGTCATAATAAAGGTAGTCATAATACTTCGGTAGTTTTTTATGTTTATATTTTTGTATTATGAACAGTGCCCTATTGCTATGTGTGGTGTATCCCCCCCCCCCGCCCGCTTTTCGATTTCCCCGGCCATGCAATTTTCCGATTGTTGGTAATCTCCCCCCCCCCCCCCACCACCTCAGCGATCTATGCATCCATCCATTCAGCGCATTGTGTACTGCAGCTCAGAAAAGTCGTTCATCCTTGTTTATTAGATCCGTGCGGTAACTAAGCATAGAATTTCGACAACATTTGAGAAATAAGAATAGTGTCTTGAAATATTTTTCTCTCGGATCAATAATAACAATATTGGATTTTTTTTTATCGGGGGGTAACAAGAATATATAGCACTCACTACTTGTTGACTCGTGCAATATTTTTTTATAGCTCGTTTGATATAATTGTATCCCTCTCAAAGCCACCCAATATTATATAAATATCATATATCAAACATGAATTCATTGTGATCATTAACGTTTAAGTTCCCTTGGCATTACACAGTGTATCAGCAAACCGAAAGTGACATTGGTTGACACTTGTCATTTGAACTGAAAGTATTATCATAATCAGAAAAGTGGGAGACATTGAATATACCATACTGAAACAGAATCGAAGCTACAGCACAAATTGTCCTGTGGTGTGCATTATAAAACATGGTGTTTTTTTATCTAAAATCCAGAACTAGTAGGAATCGGCTTATATACTTTTAAGTCCAGTGCCTTTTCATCGTCAAATGAACTCTTGAAATTCAAAATTTCCGTTTGTATTTTCAAACACGATCTGCTGTTTCCATGTCACAAGAATTTACCAACGAACGAACTAGTCCGATTGTTATGAAAATAATGACATGCGTCCCAGTCTCGCATTATGTATTATACAGGTATTTCCTTCTGAACTCACTGACCCCCAGCTTCTCAGCGTTGTCCAATTGGAGGCCCCGAACCTAACAAAGGTGGGTGCCTATTTCACCTTTGTACAGAGAAAGTAACAAAAGAACCGACTGCAACCGTAGAGTTGAACTTACACATCGAAATTGCAACGACTTTCTATGGATGTAGTCATCCTATCGGCTCGATAATTAGCTTAACATCCACAAAGGCCGTGCCAGAAGACTCTTATAAACAACGATCGACGAAAAATATGGAGAAATTTCAGCTCGTCTTCAGCCTTTTCCTGGCTACTTTGTGTATCGGTATGGCGTATTCTAAAAATAATAACAGTAAGTAAAAAATAGCTTGTTCAAAGAATAGTTTTTGAGGAATAACATATTGCATAACATTCGTTTTCCATATTGCTGAATGGTCATTTAGTTCATTGGCTTTAATTTAAGGGCTTGAAGAATAAGTAACACATGATTATGCGTGATTTTGTTGAGGACATAGCCCCATACTAAAGTAGGGCATGACAGCCAGATTTGCTTAATATTTCCGCATTATTGTCCATTCACTTGTATGCACCCATACTACAGGGTGAGTCAAAAAAGAAAGTTATCTGACTTTTGATAAAGGGAATATACAACATTTGCTTTTGCTTAATTTTTCATAAATAAATGGATGTGGAGGATTAATGTGTTATAGCAAATATTATTAGACTAACTTGTTTTACGTTTTGGGATTGTAGATGCTGGAAAAACCAAGAAAACCAATCATGTTCAATTTGGAAAAAAAACCCGAAATTTTAAAACATTGAACATTCTGAATGGCCCCTAAAGATGAAACGAAGCAATTTATAGACGTTGGGAATCGTAAGGTCAGAGAACCAGTCTAGCAGGCTTGAGCTCTTCACATGTGTGTACTCAACTGCAAAGAAAATGCGGAATAACTAAATATGGAAAATAGGAGCAGTTTTTGAAGGAAAAAAGGTGTCTTCAACGCTGGTCGGCCAACAAGCGTCGGAAAATACTTTTTTTCTTGAAAATGTCAGCACACCAAGAGCCACAATTTTACAGGATGCTTCAGACTGTCATTCCTTAACAATCCAGTAAGGTATTTCGTGATTATTTGATCATTTCGGTTTTTTAGATGTTTGCAAATGTTGTAACTTCCCTTTAAACTTTTTTTTAAGTAATCACATTTGATACACCAAAAATGCTTGTTCTTCCCCTCATCTGAAAAAAAAATACTGAATAAGATCCATGCTATCAGAAGTAATGCATGTTTCACTGAAAGAACCTAATTCATAGCTGTCCATGGAATGCCATTGGAAAATATAGAGCTGAGTGAGCACATGCAATCAAATACAAATGAGATTTTAATCATTTGAGTCAAGACTGAACGATTATTTTTTTGGAAGATTGTACTTTTGAATATGAGGAACAAGTCAACTTTTGTTGATTTCTGTTTGCTTTCAATCATGGAGGTGGGAAGTTCATGTTTCATTGTATTGAATGTGTATTCATCAGTCCGTAGAGCTGTAAACGATAAGTGGTGGGAATCTGAATGTTGTGATCTTTTTATTCAAATAGACCATAACATGGGAAAAGATTATGCAAATGACGTGACATTTTCACAGTTACTAGTCAATAACATGTACTTTATCCCTATGTTATTTTTATGAAATGGGTCGACCCACATTTGTTTTAATTTTTTTTTTTAACTTTTTCATTTTCGTACCCTGTATAGCTAGCTACCATGATTTGAATACAGGCGAGAATTGCACAAAATATGCTAGTGCAATGCAGGCAGTTTCGCTGAATATTTCCGCATTCTTACCCATTCACTCGTATGCACGCAACTTACCATAACCAGCTACCATGATATGAACACGGGCGAAACAAATTACACAAAAGATATTTCCAACAATGCAAGTGTACGTTTTGTACATTGGCAATATGCGTAGTGTGTAGGGTTTGCAGTCTTGTGAAATGTATTGCTGTTGACAGCAATGATAAATACACTCAACCAAAAAAGAAAGTCCCCCTTCCAATACTTGTTTGTCTAACTCAAAAACTACTGAGCATCTCTCGCTCAAATAACGACTAACCAGTACAGAAATTCATTAGCAATCCAGCCATACTCTCTATTTTGGCCCAAAACAGTGATAATGTG